ACGGGAAACAGCCAAAAAAGCACTGCTGCTTATTTTGGGTGGTTTTGAAACGCGGGAAAATGGACGTTGCTGTGTACTTCACCAACAACAAGTCAAAGAAAGGCAGTGATAAGAAAGACTATACCACAGGTGAGGCTTAATCGGGCTTGACGTATCATTTATTGCAATTTTGAGTCCCTATATCTCGTAAATGTCGAGATAAAAAAAGGTATGCACAGGATAACTGAAATTCAATATTTCATTTTGAATTTAAGTCAATTTGTGCAGAATTTTTTTAAATTTCCAGCCGTTTACGAAATAAAATGTCAAAAATCGCAAATAAATGTTAAGTTAGCACGCCCAGCCGGTGGTACGAGGAAAACTTCAATCCGATAGCACCACCGTCCCCTGCACTCACTCCTTCCAGCGTTCCACGAGTTAGCCGGTCTACACTAAGTTTTTGTGATTTCAAGTCGAAATGGGGAAAAAAAGAACTAAGGCTGGTAAGTTCTTTTCCACTGGCACAGAAAGAGAAGCCCTTTGCACACGGATACTTTATGGATAACCCAGCAAACCGCTAATGATCTGCCGCCACTTGCTCCAGTGACGTTGTTTCTTTAATTTGAAAAGCAAAATTTCCACCATCAACAGATAAGGGAGGGTGGGGCAGTTTGAAACAGGGGCAGTTTGAAACAAACACCAAAATTAAAGCAATGAGGGCTGCCGAAGGAAATGTGAGTGTGCACAATCTTTATTTTCATGATCTTACTGATTTGCGATCGACACGGTCGCCAACGGTGCACTTAAGTGCCTTGAAAACAAGGTGAAAATTCGGTACCATTGAAATTGGCCTAAACTTAAATTTCTAAGTCACGGGAGTTTCCGTCTGGGTTTCGCTAGTAAGCAATCATCTCCCGCGCACTTACTTCATCTTTTAGTACCATATTAGACAAACGTAACGCACCCTCGGACACTGACGTAGCCCTCACCAAGCCGGCGGGGAGCAGCACATTGGAATGGTGCCCTCTGGGGAGTTTGAAACAGAAGTGGATGGGCAGTTTGAAACCCCCATATCACC